TACTATCACCAACCCCACCAGCAGCAATCTCAAAAGCTCCTTTGGCTGCTAATAGCTTGTCAGCCAATGGTGTGCTTCCACTTTCCGGACCATGGGCTCCCAACTCGGGGGCTAGGACCCCAATGGGATTCAAAAGTGTTTTCTAGGGTGGTCGCCATGTTTATTTTTAGTTGCAATTACATTTTATTTATTATATTAAATATGGTGCACACAATGATGTTTTATGTTAAACCACTTGTCCTGCAGATAGATGATTTTAATCTGAACTAGACATGGGATATTTGTATTTGTATACCTGGGGAAGATAAGCACCACAAGTGCCTGGGAAGTCCAGCCCTTCCCTACCGATCTGAACAGCCCACTCACTGGTCATAGAGAGGCATTGTGCAGCCATCGTCTGTGCTGTCGCACCAATAGGGGGAGCAGCCTGGCTGGTGCTTCCTCGCCTCCCCTTACAGCCAACCTCTCAACAGCTGAATGCAGAGACTTGTCATCCTGCCTCCTTGCTGGAGTGGTTGGCTGAAAGGTGGTTGCTGCCTGAGTCTCCTGTTCTTCTGGGTGTGGGGATGGCAGCACAGTGAAGAGAGAAGGGATCTGGGCAGGGAGATGTCTCCGGGTTCTGCCTGGATCATGGAGGAAGAAGGCAAAGGGGACAAAAAAGAGGTGGAGGAGAGCTGGAGAGGGAGTGGGGACAATGGGGAAAGTGTTTATTTAGGCTTGAGGGAGGGCTTTTCACAGAGGGGGCTTTTGGGGGAGGAGGGGACATGAAGGGAGAGTCGTTTCCACACCCCAAAAAGTAAATTAAACTCAAGTGTATTGACCTATTTTTCCCTCTCAAATTTTATCTGGTAGAGGCAGATTTTCTTCTTCATGGATTGCTGCCTTGTCGTGGCGAAGGGGCTTGAGTAACTCAGAGAAACTATGGGCTATGCCGTGCAGGGACCCCCAAGACGGACAGGCCATAGTGGAGAGTTCCGACTAAATGCAATCCACCTGGAGTAGGAAATGGCAAGCCACTCCAGTATCTTTGCCAAGAACGCCCCATGATCAGAAACAAAGGCTAAAAGATATGACGCTGGAAGATGGGCCCCTCAGGTCGGAAGGCGTCCAGCATGCTACTGAGGAAGAGCGGAGGACAAGTACAAGTAGCTCCAGAGCTAATGAAGTGGTTGGGCCAAAGCCGAAAGGACGCTCAGCTGTGGACGTGCCTGAAAGTGAAAGGAAAGTCCGATGCTGCAAAGAAAAATACTGCATAGGAACCTGGAATGTAAGATCTATGAACATTGGGAAGCTGGAGGTGGTCAAACAGGAGATGGCAAGAATAAACATCGACATCCTGGGCATCAGTGAACTAAAATGGACAGGAATGGGCGAATTCAGCTCAGATGATTATCATATCTACTATTGTGGACAAGAATCCCGTAGAAGTCCAAATAGTCTTTAATCCCAAGTTCAAAGTCCACATACCATTCTTCCATCATCACCTCAAAAACCACCATTTTGGCAACAAGACAGGAAAAGCCAGAAAGCGCACCTCTGTCTTTTAAAAATCCTTTTAAAATGTTAGAAACAACAATAAAGGCCTCTATGCCTTGTTTTATATAGTCATAGAACTGTAGATTCATAGAACAACAGAGATGCAAGAGACCTCCTGGGCCATGAGGTACATACCCTTTCAGACAAAGAAACCTGTGCTGAAACATTCCTATCAAATGGCAATCCAACCTCTGTTTAAAAAGCTTCAGGGAGGACGTGCACATCTCCTGCTGAGATAGTACATTCCACTGTTGACCAGCTCTTGGGGCATGTCTACACCAGCATAGAGATATGGCATATGGATTGCTGAGGGCACTGGATTTTTAAAAAAAAACATTATCTGCAAGTGTTTCTACTTAGAACAACCCATCCTTCCCCTTTAAGAGCTGTGGCACACCTTTGCAGCCTGGTGGTGCAGCATGCATTCTTTCTGGCACTCTCATTTCTTGGGATTGAGCAACTTCCAGCTGCTGTAGATTTCAAGGGTGAGTTTGGAGGCCTGTCCAGACTGGCCATTTTGGGTATGGGGTGAATTGAGCTACAAAGGGTCTGTTGAGGTCAGAAGGTGTGATATGCCATTTGGTGTGTTACTCTCAATCTGAACAGCAAATGGTCCCTTGTAAATCAGCTGTCAATTAAGTGCTTCCTTGATCATCAGCTGAAAAAAGGAAGTTAAATTATTTTTCTTACCTCACTCTTCTCTTCTCTTATCAATACCATTCAATTTTCTCCCTTTCCCCTCACACTGCTTCTCTTCCTTTGTTCTTCTCCCACTTTCCCTCTGTGAATCAGCAGCCACAATGACAGGGAGTGTGGGGGGAAAAAGAATACATGCTCTGTCTACCACGTAGGGTCAGAAAATGTGTGATGGCTCTTAAAGGGGAAAGGGAGATCATTCTAAGTAGAAACACTTGCAGATGAGGTCTTCCCCCCCCTCCAAACTGTGCCATCAGCGATCCATATATCATATCTATACGCCACTGTGGACAGGCCCCAAGAAAGGTGGGGTGGAGAGAACAAGGGAAGGGAAGGGGAAGGGAGAAAATGGAATGGCACTGACAAAGGGAGAGGAGCAAGTAAAAAAAAATTGTTTCCCTCCACAGGTAATATGGGGAAACACTTAATTGACAGTTGACTGAACTATAAGGTGTCCTTTGCTCCTGAAGAATGGAAGGAACACACCGAGTGACCCATCGCTGCTGCTCCTCCCTGACCTCAACAGACCTTTTGTAGCCCATCCACCTCGTACCCAAAACAGCCAGTTTGGACAGGCTTTTACTCTCAGGAAGTTCTTCATATTTAGGGGAAAGCTCTGCTCTTATAATTTGAATCTGGTGCCTCCAGTCCCACACTCTGGTGCTGCAGAAAACAAGCTTTCTTTGTCTTCCACATGGCAGTCTTCCAAATTTTTAAAGACAACTATCGTGGTTTTTTTTCCCCAGGCTAAACATACTCAGCTCACTCAACTGAGGCACATGTTCCTTAACTCTCCCAAAGAACTCAACATGGTGAATGAGAAAGGAGGTATGTTTCCAGGAGATGATGGATTCTTTCTTAGTAAGCCTCAGGTGATTCTTCCACAAGATGACCTTCTACAGTATACATTATAATTTGCAAATGGAAAGATAGTGAAAAATTGTTTCTAAATAACTGGTATAAACATGTATTGGACTTAGTTGCCAAAAGGCTAACATAAGAAATGTGAATGAACAAACAGATACTAGTTGTTGTTGTTGTTGTTTAGTCGTTAAGTCGTGTCTGACTCTTCGTGACCCCATGGACCAGAGCACACCAGGCCCTCGTGTCTTCCACTGCTTCCCAGAGTTGGGTCAAATTCATGTCCGTAGCTTTGGTGACACTGTACAACCATCTTGTCCTTGGTCGTCTCCTTCTCCTGTTGCCCTCACACTTTCCCAGATACTAGTTGTTGTTGTTGTTGTTTAGTCGTTAAGTCGTGTCTGACTCTTCGTGACCCCATGGACCAGAGCACACCAGGCCCTCGTGTCTTCCACTGCTTCCCAGAGTTGGGTCAAATTCATGTCCGTAGCTTTGGTGACACTGTACAACCATCTTGTCCTTGGTCGTCTCCTTCTCCTGTTGCCCTCACACTTTCCCAACATCAGGGTCTTTTCCAGGAAAGGTAATGGATTGTTGTTTTTATTTATTTGCAAGATATATTCTAAAATACATAATACAATGTTCTTATTTTTTAAAAGACAACCTTCTATATGCTTGATCATTTTATTGTTACCAAAATTGTTCTAACTGTACATCCAACAATAGAGATGAAACCTTTCATTTCCTAGACACTTCCCCCAACCCCCCTTTTTTTTTGCAAAATTGGTATTATATTGACTCCTTTCCTGCTCTTAGGTGTCAAAGACAGAAGAGGGTGACACCTCAGAGCTGTTTTGTTTTCCACTTAATTTTCTGCAGTTACAAACTTTGCACAGTGCTTGACCTGTCACATCATACCTAGAAATTATTCAGATGGGAGGATTTGTAGGCCAAGGCATCTGGAACATGCCAGGCTGGAGAAAACACCTTAAATATTATTCCTTAACCCCTCTTCTCCCAAAAAAACATCACTTTTAAAGGAGCTAATAACCTAAATAAGGGACGTGGTGGCGCTGTGGGCTAAACCGCAGAAGCCTGTGCTGCAGGGCCAGAAGACCAAGCAGTCGCACGATCGAATCCACGCGATGGAGTGAGCGCCCGTTGCTTGTCCCAGCTCCTGCCAACCTAGCGGTTCGAAAGTGTGCAAATGCAAGTAGATAAATAGGGACCACTTCGGTGGGAAGGTAACAGCGTTCCGTGTCTAAGTCGCACTGGCCATGTGACCACGGGAGATTGTCTTCGGACAAAACGCTGGCTCTATGGCTTGGAAACGGGGATGAGCACCGCCCCCTAGAGTCGAACACGACTGGACAAAAATTGTCAAGGGGAACCTTTACCTTTACCAGTAACCTAATAATGCAGTTATAGGGAGGAAGGGTGAGCAGCGCACCATTCACACTGTATCATATAATAAAAATTTAATAAACAAATTGTTGTTAATATAGTGAACATGGTAACATCTGAGACGGATTGACTTAATAAAGAAAGTTATGACTTTTAATTTGCAAGATCTGAGTGATGCTGTTAATGACAGGACCTTTGAGTGGTTATTAATTCATAGGATTGTCATGATGTACAAATCAAAGTGACAGCACACGGTGAATTTGATTTAATCCCTCTCGATATTAATAAGAAGCTGATTTCTCAATGTTCATTCATGAACCGATGTCAAGCTGCTTACTCCAAACTCTAGAAAATGCAAGACCACAGAAGGCAAGAAGAACCCAAGAGAACAACGTTTCTGGTCTCCCGGCCCCTGTACTAGCAGCCCCCCGCCGACAGGGGTCAGCAGAAAGCTTCCTTTCCCGCACACCGTTTGCGCAGGTTCGGTTGGGATGGAGCGGAGTTTCCTCGACAAGCTATCTCTGGCCGACGTCGGGAAGCCGAAGAATGAATTCAACGCGGAGTTTGCGTAGCGATTCTACCTCGCCTCCTCGCTGCGTTAGCGTAGCTTGGCCTGAAAGGACGGCTAGATTTAGATTTCGCTTTTAGCTCCTCCCTCCAGGCCGCTACGGCGTTTGCGCAGCGGCCGGCGGTAAGCCTCTGTCGGAAGCGGCCGAAAAATCCAGCGGCTGCTCTTAGCGGGCGGCTGGAGGGAGGGCGCTGATGATTGGCTTGCGGCTCCCGTGACGCGAGAGCCTCCCTCGGCCAAAGAGGAGGCGCCTTTTTCGGCGTGAGGGTCTTACGCGAGGCTCCGGCTTGAGGCCTCCCGCGGAAGGGTGAGAAAGGCCTCCGACGACAGGGATGGGGAAGATGTGAGGGCCGGACGTGGCCTGAAACGATGAGGAGGAAGCCAGAGCGATAATTATTCTCGGGGTTTGCTTTCCAAGGTGTGTGTGAGTGTGCGAACGGACGGATGACCCGAGGCTTGGAAGGAGGAATATTGTGCTGTCCTTCCTGCCCCCCTTAAAAAACAAAAGCAAAAAGGAAAAAAAAATAACCTCCTCAACTCCACAACCTCCTAAAAAAAAAAAGACCGGGCGAACCATAAATACTGGGTCTCGTCCGTGGGGAATGTGCGACCTGCAGAGCGCGTTCCTGAGCGTGTGCAGAATGTTTTTTTTCCCCTCTAGCCGTCAATAAAGATCTGCAAGCAGGATTTCCAGCCCCACCCCGCCCCATGCCCGTGAGGGGGGCGTGCGCTCTCAGGGCTGGTTAATCCCAAAGCTTAGCTTTTTAGGTAGATAGGGTTAAAAGGCCCAGGAACGCCGGTGGCGGATCAGAGCAGCTCATGTAGCCCATCATCCTTCTCTGGTGGAGTAAAGGATGAAGGAGAGTGACCAGCCCAGGGAGCCTGGCAAGTAAAAGCTTTGAAGCCAGTTGCACCCTGCCAATGCTTGTCTGTGAAATAATGGCAGTAAATGGTAATAGTGCATCTGTCTCAACATGGGGGTTCTGTTCAGTTGTCATGGCTAAAAAATTAGCTGATAACCTCCCAGTCCCATTTGTGATTCCCTTCCAAAATGATGCCAGGTAATAGTTTTCATGATGTCTTAATGTGTTTTTTTTTGGAATAGATGACTTTTTTTTATGGCTTTCTTTTCATGTTTCACTTTCCAAGGTTTTGTTTGTGTTTGTGCAATGTTCTTAATGTGGATTTTTTGCCTCTGCAAATGTGTTACATGTGGTATTTAGCTTTCAGGCCTTGAATTGAACCCAGTACAAATGCATACAGGAAGCTTGCAAGCTCTCTGTGGCCTGTCTTGTGAACTGTTCAAAAGCTTCTATGAATGCATAGAGCAGCTTATTTGGAATTTAGTGCTCTACTCCTGCAAAAACTGTGCTACGTACCTATTTGTTTCTAAGCCCCATGTCAAATCTTGATATTGATCTTTAAAACCCTAAATGGTTTGCTGTTAAGTAACTTGAATCCTCACCTGCATCAGCCTGTCAGAGTTTTGAAGTCAGCCACAGTGGCCCTACTCACAGTACATATACATCGATGGGGGTGCCTTTTCAGTGGTGACTTCTTGGTACTGGAGTTGTCTGCCTCAGGAAGGAAACTTGGCTTCCTGCCCTTTTTATTTTAGATCATCCCTAAAGAATTTTGAATTTCAAACTGTTTTTTAATAGGAAGTTTGTTTGTTTGTTTTTCTTGTTGAAAAAACTGCGTGTTGCACTAGATGTTTGATGTGTGCATCCAGCTTTTTTCATGAGAAGATATAGCTAATTGTTAATGCTACTCTATTGCTTTGTTTTAAAAATTGTACTGTTAAAGAATCTGTTTTTCATGTAACACGTGGAAAAGATTTTTAGTTTTGAATAATAGAATTCCTATTGTTAAAATAAAATTTTGAAATGTATGTGGAAATCAGCACCTTTGTTTTTTTAAAGCAAACAATTAATTAAAAAGTAACTAAAGGAGGATATGAACTTAATGTGAAACCAGTCTGCATACAGTATGCCCCAGAAGTTTTTTGTTTTTGTTTTTTTTAACAGGTTTTGTTTTATTTAAACTTGCCAGACCAGTTTTTTCCCTTAATCAGGCTTCTTTTTTTTAACTCACTGGACCAGTTAAGATAGTGGTGTACGATGAATGTCTTGACCATAATCTACATATAAACCTCAATGTCAGGCCTGCGGCTTCATGAAACGGAAGAATTTATTAATTTTTCAGTCTTTAACGGTATTCTGAATGATACCTAATTATGTAGTGGATAGAGTGATGGACTAGGACCCAGGAGACCTGGGTTTAACTTCGTATCCAACCATGGCTACTTGGAATATGTCTGTAGAACTCTTGAAATTCCTACCCCTAGTAGGGTCACTGCAAGTCAGTTCCGCCTTGACAGCGCGCACACACAATTGAATTTATGTGCATAGCTCATCAGGTACTGCTTTAAAGTGCCATATTCCGCTTAAAATCTGATCAAGGATACTTTTTATGAAGTAAGCTGAATCTTCATACTGCGTGAGATATATGAGGCTCTTCATGCCCTGTGCATGTCTCAGTCAGAATAGTAAGCACAACATTATGGATAGTGCTTGGAATAGCGGCTTCTCCAAGTGCTCACTGTATCCCATTTTATGCGCCTAAGGTGTCTGGTTGGAGTTAACCCAATTAATAATAGTAAGGCCACACAGAAATGGCTTTGCATGGTTGTTGCAGCCTGGTTTTTAACTGGGATGGGCATTGGAGAATGTAGATGGAATGCCAGTACACGACAGCTTCTTTGGTTCTTAGTTACTTTCTGAAGTAGTTTAAAGTGCTGTTCCTGACTTTTCAATCCCTGCATGATCTGGCTTTAGATATGGATGTGGGGTATGGGCAAGTTGCCCATGGTGAACTCTTCAAGTAGCGTGATTACTTCCTTACTATTCATTTCATAGGAGTGGCCTCTGGTGCTAAGCGGAGTTGAGTTGATATCACCATGTTTCTGGAGTCACCTGGATGTGTGTATGCTTTGGGTGCAGTTCCAGAGTGTCACAAACGGGGCGACACTAGCTATGATATGGATGCCAGTGGCCTGAAGATCTACTCATAGCTGTCACCCGCATCAGCTCCATTCGACGGACGATTGCAAGAGTCCTGTCACTGTCCCATGCCAATTCTAAGCCTGAAAATCTTGTATCCATTGTGCAAGACAATACCTTTTTGATGGCAGTAGACTTGCCCAAGAGAAATACCAGACCATTTCTACTGTTGCCTTTAGTAGGCAAATTGAAATGCTTTGTTAGAAGCATTTGAAATTTTGTACTGGGTGCCATTTTAATCTTCCTGAGACCTATTACGTACAGTATTAGCTTCCTGGCTTGACCTTTATGTCCTTTAATTCTCAGTCTGGGTTTGCAGTTGAGGGTTTGGGTTCTCTTTTGTTTTTGTTTGAAGGCTTCTTCTGAGCCAAAACAAAATGAAGCCAAAACTAATAAGTACATTCAGAAATGGAGGAGGGGGCAGAGATCTTGGTTCTCTTTTCAAACTGTATCAAACTGTGTATAGACACAGTGGGAGGAGGCTTGGGAAGGAATGCATCCCTCCCCCGCCCGCCTGGAACTGCTTGTAATTCCTTAGGCTGGGGGAGACCATCTTGACATTTTAAAGGTGTAGACATGTGCCTTTATCCTTTAAAACATCATTAATTGTTTAGAAATCCAGCAGTTGGGTTGACATGTAACAGCTGGGGTTGCAAGGGAGGCCTGACATGTGTTCAGGCAGCATGCTGTTACATATAGTTGGTTCATCCTGCCAGTGGAAGCAGATAAGCAAACCATAGTAGGGGAGGACAACATGGACTTCCGTTTTACAAGTGGAGATCTGCTTGCCTAAGGTTGGAATTACTCTTAAATGTTCTTGTTCTGAAGTATTTGATCTTGGAATACCCAGTACGGTTGTAGTGCACATGGTGATGGACTAGTACTCAGGAAACTTGGGTTCAGATCTCCTCTCAGCCATGGAAAATCAACATGTATCCATATGGAACTGATCCACTTACTGAATTTTTTACTTATTTTGAAAGCTCTTTTAGGGTCACTGTAAGTTGCTTCTGATTTGACAGCACATAACATTTAATCTTCATTTCTTAAATGTTTACCCTGAATTACTAGCCTGGGGTAAGACTGCAAGAGTAATCCAGCCGTATGCAACAGTGTGGTGCTTAGACACACACATCAGAGTGCCCTGGAACCTTGGCTGTTTTTTATATGTCAACATGTCTAGTTCTATAGATGTATACCCTTGTTCATATGTTTCATAATGATCTTACGCAAATAATTAAGTCCAGAGATGGTTTTTCGGGCTCTTTGGCCATGTTCTGAAGGTTGCCCTTCCTGATGTTTCGCCAGTCTCTGTGGTCGGCATCTTCAGAGGACAGCAACCTGTGCTCTGGTGTAGTTGGCTTGGGAGTGCAGTATTAATGGCTGAGAGATAGGCTTTTGTCTTTTTCTGTAGATAGGTGAGTAGTGTGTATTGTTGTGGATGTATTGTTGTGCTAAGGGGAAGAGATTATCTGTTCCTGTGGTTGATGGGTGTCAGTAGCTGGTCTTTTGTTTGTAGTGATCCCCTGTCCTTGTGGCTGGGTAGAGTTCGTTGACCTTTTGCACATAGTATGTTTGATAGCTGGGAGCCAAGTTTTGTTGAGCTTCATACTTTTCTCTTTTTAGTTGAAACTGTGCTTGTGGATTTCAATGGCTTCCCTGTGCAGTCTGACGTAATGATTGCTGGTGTTGTCCAGTATTTCAGTATTTTGAAATAGAATTTCATGTCCAGTTTGTTTCAGGGCATGTTCAGCTACTGCAGATTTTTCTGGTTGTTTTAGTCTGCAGTGTCTCTCATGTTCTTTGATTCTGGTGTGGATGCTTCGTTTTGTGGTTCCAATATATACCTGACCACAACTCCAAGGCATCCAGTATACCCCTGCGGTGGTGAGGGGGTCCGTTCTGTCCTTTGCTGACCGCAACATTTGTTGTATTTTTGTGGTGGGCTTGAATACTGTTTGTAGGTTGTCTTTTTTCAAAAGTTTCCCCATGCGGTCCGTGACCCCTTTGATGTATGGCAGAAATACTTTATTTGTGGATCGCTGTTTTTCTTCTTCAGTTAGGTGTTGTTTTCTTGGTTTGCTGGCTCTTGTGATTTCATTTTTGGAGTAGCCATTTGCCTGTAGGGCCCAATTCAGATGGTTGGGTTCAGTGCTGAGAAACTGAGCTTCACAGTTTCAATTTGCCCGGTCTACCAATGTTTTGATTATGCCTCTTTTTTTGCTGTGGGTGGTGGTTGGAGTTTTTGTATAGGTACCGGTCTGTGTGGGTGGGTTTTCTGTAGACCTTGTGTCCCAGTCGGAGGTCAGTTTTGCGTAGGACCATGACATCTAAGAACGGGAGCTGGCCCTCTATT